ACAATTGAGCAGAGCTTGTCACGAGTAAATGTCATGCCATGGAAGTTGGTTAAGCAATTACGTCCCTGTACATCTTCGCAAATTAGCCGAAATTTGCGGAAATCAGATTCAGAATTATTGAGGTCTCCTAAGGACACTTCGAAAACACGTCCCTTAAGCCCTTCACTAGCTATTTCTGAAGAGCGACAAAAACTTAACTAGTAAAGTGAGTGATAAATTGATAGAGCAAATTAACAAAGCAAAATCAATTCGATTTATACAGTAAGTTTAACTTTTGACCTGGTTACGAGAACATATGGCAATATCATTTTCGAAAGAAAAAATATGAGGACTCGGATGATCATCCTATCCCAAAAAATAGGTGGTAGTAGATATCCGAAAGGTGACTTTTGGCCATGAACCTGATACCGTATTTCTATGAACAACAAAAGTCTTAACTTTTCTTTGAGGAAAATAATTCCATCAAATTTTGAAATACTGTTACGATGCTAAGGCTACATAACAAATAGACAGAAAAGAAAAACTTTCTTTTATTATTTAAAAAACCTACTTGTTCCCTGGGTTCGATTAACAAGTGTTTTTCCAATATTGCGATTTGTAAACATCGCTGGTGCTTTAACATCATACCATTCTTTACGTGTAAACGGATCTATAACCTTCTTTTTCGTACCTTTTTTGATTATCTTCTTACTTTTACCAACCGCCATTATGAGCTGCTGTTATGCTGCAAAAAATAAACAGACAAGAATCGTGAACAACATAAAAAGTTTTGGTAAAAATTTTTACAACGCGTACCAATACAAGTCATCACAAATTTGTTGCAATAAAAGCAAAAGATGTCAAGAAAAGAGCCTTTTTTCTTGTCTTCATCTGTCAGTGTTTATAAGCAAAATGCCAAAGAAAAAAAGAGTAAATAAATAAAAAAACAAATAAATAAAAAGGAAAATATATAGACTAATTAAAAACCAATCGACTTGGGTTCAACAACATATATATATATATATATATATATATATATATATA